TTGTTATAATGTTTTCTGAATTGTTGTTGTGCTTTCTGAATTATTTTGTTTTTTAGACTTGCATTTGCGTTTGTAATTTGTTTTGTTTTCAGAATTGTGATTTGTTTAGCACTTCACGGCCACCGTAGTAAAAGGTTCAATAAGCATTTATAAACAATAATAAGCATTTTCAGAAACTGGGTATACAATGATCGATCATTAAAAGCAAATTTGAAAGTGTAAAAGCATTACAAATGTCTTGCCATTAATAACTGCTAAAGATCCTCCTTCTATCAGCTGCAATATTACGGACGTGTTAAATATTATAGTAATATATGTCTATGTTTCATAGCAAATATATTTTACAGCATCCGTGTGAAAACAAACTTGGAAAGAAACTTGAGGATTTGGGCAGAAACATGAAAGAGATTTATTTTCTCCCCAAGTAGTCATGATGGTTTACATCCTCATTTCTTAGTGCATTCCAGGGAATTATTCATGGTATATGAATTTTATATCGTAAATCAAATCGGGAGAGCAGACCAAAAATGCACAGTATATATGTTGTCTTTTTTTCATTTACTTACAGCCGAATACAAAGGAAACAAGAAAATAATCAGGAGGAAAATAATGCAGCAGGCTAAAAAGAGCTATTTTATAGATATTGTTGTTATATCAACTAGTCCAGGCTGGACTATTGCAATGACCTCTTGGCAGGTCTTCCAGCCACTTCTATCAAACCTCTACAATTAATCCAAAATGCCGCTGCAAGATTAATATTTAATGAGCCGAAAAGAACGCATGTCACACCTCTGTTCATCAATTTGCACTGGCTACCAGTAGCTGCTCGCATTAAATTCAAGGCATTAACGTTTGCCTACAAAACCACCACTGGCTCTGCACCCATTTACCTAAATTCATTACTTCAGAGTTATGTGCCCTCTAGAAGCTTGCGTTCTGCAAGTGAACGGCGTATTATTGTGCCATCTCAAAGAGGCACAGAATCACTTTCACAGACTTTTTCATTAACTGTTCCCTCTAGTGTTGTCACGGTACCAAAATTTCAGTATTCGGTACCAATACCAGTGAAAATCCACGCTTCTCGGTACCAATTTCGGTACCAAAGCAAAACACAAAAACATGCTAATTGAACAACATTTTTATTAATAACGTTAAACAAAAATTAAATGTACAAAACCAATGCCATTCTTTATACTTGTGGAAAAACTTGGAAACATTAAAAATTAATTAAACAAGATTCACCCAAAAGTTTAGTCATAGTTGTGCTGCCACTGAAAAACATCTGTAAACTGTTGTCTGTTTTAGGGTTTGCTGGTGTGTTTCAGGATCTTCCTCAGTCTGCAGCTGTAAAAGGAAAATATAATATACTTCAGTAAAGCAATGGGCTGAGTCTGACCAAATGCAACATAAGATCATTGACACCAGCTAAAATATAACTTCTCAGGAAATAACAACCCTCAGCTTTTATAATAAATTTAGATAAGATTACATATATTAAGTGTACAGTATATCAAATAGATGGAAACTGTAGTATTAAAAACACTTTACAATAAGATTTTATTTGTTAGATAACATGACCCAACAATAAACAATAGTTATATGGCAATTATTCTTCTTAGGGTTAATTTCAAAGTTCAATCTGTTAAAATTATTTAATGCACAATGAACAAACAAGAATGATCAAGTGTTTGTATTAAATAACATACACAAACATTAATGAATGTTTTAAAAAATATTTTGTTCACTCACTGTAAGATTTTACTAGATCTAACATTGTACAGTAAAGT